CCCCAGAGGCCCCTCCCCACATGGGGTTGTCCGGTGGCGGGGCGGCTCCTGGGACTGGCATCTCTAGGGGCCGGGCCTTCACATTTGCCTGAACCTGAGGGTGGAGTCTGGGGGTCTCCACCCGGGGGGCAGCGGCGAGCTCGAGTGCTGCCACTGTGGGAGGGAAACGCCGGCCGCCCAGTGCTCCAGAGCCTGCCTGGCTGAACCCACAGGCCTCCACTGCAGGTGCTGGGAACAGACAGGCCCTGCCAGGGCACACTGAGGCAGGGTCCCCACGGGAGCAGGTGTCCCCGCTCCAAGGAAGTCGGGTTCACCCACAAGGCGGAGCCCTGACATGCACTGAAGAGGCAAACTCGCCCTGCCCAAGGCGCGCTCATGTCTCCCCGGTTCGCCTGGCCTGGCCCCTGCCCTCCGCGAGTGTCATCCCGCCCACGCCCAGGCTGGTGCTGACTGCCGGAAGGCTGCAGCCCAGCTCTGAGCCCTCTGCTCCGTCTCCGGTCCCTGCATCTGGCTCCAGGCTCTGTTGCCAGGGCAACGTGGCTTGGCCTAACCTCCCTCACCTCCCCCCACCATCCTCCAGCATCCCACAGGTGGCAGCTGGGTTTCGTGAGGCCCCAGGCCTTGCAGAGCAGAGCGACCCAGGTGGTTGGGCCAGCTCCCGGCATCTCTCCCTGACTGGGCGGGAGGGCAGGATGTTCCCACCTCCCGGGGGCCCTCAGGAACATCCCTGCAGGGCTCTGCGGTCTGCGGCCCTGAGAGTGGCACCCCGACCTCTCAGAACGCAAGGCTCCTGCAGACAGATTCCGATCCCACCCCGAGTGCCGGCCCATGGGGACAGGGCCTGCTGCCTTCTCCCGGCCCCAGGAAGTCAGTGCTCCTAGTTCTGGGCGCCGGCTCCCGCTACCCCCTTCTTCTCCCTTCCCCTCCCACCCCTCCCTTGTCCTCATGCCCCTGGAGCCTCGCCGCTGGCACAGAGAGGGCCAGCACTTGGCTAACCGCCCAAGCACTCTCCTGAGCCTAAGCTCAGGACATCGCTGTGATCAAACACCGTGCGGGCAACCTCGGTGCGTCCCACATTGCCGCCCGGGCCCCGCTGGCACAGACTGGCGGCCACCTAGCCCTGGGGGTGGCTGCTCAGGCCGGGATGGAGGCCGGGTGGAGGGATGCAGGCCCCAGACTGGCCTGGCCTGGCCTTGCCCGCTGCCCCAGGGGAGGCGCCCTGACACCCCCACCCCAGCCTGGACCCAGGCCCCTGCGTGCTCAGCTGTGTTCCTGGACTGGGGGCCGGGATCACTCCAAGGGCAACCAGAGGATGTGCCTCAGCCCTCCCTGCCCAGAACCAAGGCCAGCAGCCAAAGCTGCCCCTAAGCTGGCGACAGGGACCCAGAAGGCCCGTGCACACAGGCGGTTGGGCTGAGGGGCCGTCTGGCCCGGGAGCAGAGCCAGCTCCCCCTCTGGCTGCCATGGGGCTCTGGCCTCCCTTCCCGAGTGCTGCGTGGCTTCTCTGCACAAGCCCAGCCCCGATGACCAGAGAGGGACACAGCCCTAGGCCCGTCCTGATGCCCACGCAGGACAGCAGTGCCCTGGGACCAGATGGCACTGACGGGCTCCGGCACCCCAGGGGGTTCTCAGTCCTTGTTTCATCTCCAGCCAGATCCGGGGCCCACACGAGGCCACACGACCCGGCAGGCCCTGACAGCCAGCCTGGGGCCCCCGCCCACACCCACACGCTCCCTGCTGGGCCCGGTCACCTGGAATCCCGGCCCGGGTTGGTCTTGACCGCGGCCTCCTCGCCTGAAGAAGAGTCTTCCTCGTCAGACTCCTCGGACTGCAGGTCCTCCACCATGGAGCGCAGGGGCCCTGGGGGAGGGCGGGGAGGGACTCTGGCCGAGTCTGCGAGACCACACCGGCCAGCCTCGGGCCCTCCTGCCCAGTGAGCGTGCCCACCAGCCGCCCCCACCTGAGTCGCCTGGGTCCCTAGGCCATGACCCCCTACCTTCCTGGCCCTGCTCGCAGGCCTCAGTCCCCTGACCTGCAACAGGACTGCAGGGACCCTCCATGCCAGCGCCAGAGGAGAACCCCTGCTCCCGGGCGCAGGGATCACAGGCTCCAGTGAGAGCCCGGGACGCCAGCCCTCGCTGGAGAGGGTGAGGGAGCTGCAGCCAGGGGCTCGAGGCTTTGCCCAGGGGCCACCAGGCCCCTCCACCCGGCCGCACTCCCGCTCGGGCCTGGCCTCCCCTCAACAATCCCCTCTGCGGCTCCCGGTCCGCTGTCCTCCCCTTGCTCCAGAGGCACTGGTTCTAGTCCCCTACAGACGGCATCTTGGTTTATATTCCTGTTACCAAGGCAACAGAGGGACACAAAGCCCTCAATTACCTTAGTCACATGATCCGGCTTCAGCAGGTCCCCTCCCTCCCCCAGCAGATAAGAACCTGCGGGTAGTGTGGGCTCCCAGAGCCCCGCCCCCTCGGCCACTGTCTGAACTCCAGGCCAGACTCCCAGCCCCCCAGGACTCGGGCCCTGAGGGGAAAGGCTGGCATTCCAATCTGCTAGATGAAATGCTTCTGGTGTGGGAGTCCCGGGCCTGTGGCACCTGTGTCCTGCTCTCCCAGGGCCACCTGCAGGAGAGGACCGAGGCAGGGCCCAGGTGCGCACAGGCAGGCTGCGGGACAGGGGGGTGGGCAGAGGAAGAGGTCGCGCCCACAGCAGCCTCAGCCTGGGAGGAGCTGGGAAGGAGGCCGGGGGTGGGGGTGGGGGCGCAGGCCGGTCAGGAGGGTGCCAACACCACCCCAGCACAGCTGCCTCACCAGGGGCACAAGGCCCAGGCCCCAAAGCCAGCGTGGAGCGCACTCCTGCAACCTAATCTGGGACCTCTTTCTGCCCGCTTCTGTGTGCGGACACCCCCGAGCCACGTGAGCCCACGGCACAGGCCTGCAGGGACCTGGGGCCAGCGTCCTGACACCCGGGAGCCCACAGGGCCCAGGCCGCGGTCTGTGCTGAGGCCAGGTCTAGCACGCCGTCTGCCGTTTCTGACTGCAGCTTTTGGGCGGCTGGCGAGCTATGAGTGACCTGCGAGCCCCAGGGTGGCCGGCCTCGGCCTCTCCACAGCCAAGTGCCCGTGCCACCGCGACCCTCACCACCCGGCCCGGCCTGCACGTACCTTGACTGTGGTTCTGGGACGGCTCGAAGTCGGAGTCTGAGCTGGAGTCCGAGCTGGAGCTGGACGGGCTCGACTGTGCGGACTTCACCCGGCGTGGGGCGGTGTGGGGAGAGGAGAGTCACCTTTCTGCCTAGGGGGCTCTGCAGCGCCCACACGCGGCGCGTCGGCCCCCATGGAACACAGCCTGAGTGGATCCTGGTTTCCAGTGGCACCAGAGCGCTCCGGACCCCGCGGTCGGCCCTTCCCCACCCCCCAGGCACCAGCATGGCAGCAAGGAGGGTGGGCGTGGGTCGGACCAGGCAGGTCTCTGTGACCCAGGTGCTGGCCTAGGGCTCAGGACAAACGCGGTTGTCTCCCTGCAGACTTGCCCCAGCCCCGTGGGTGTAGGAAACGTGGCGGGCCACTGTGTGAGGAGGCCTCGCCCAGGCACGCAGCTCAGGGACTCCCCAGCACCAGCCTGACCCAGGCGAGCGGCTTAAGGAGGAAAGAGGGACAGACAGACGGCCCCTGCAGAGCCCCCCAGAGCCCCAGGTGCCACTCGGGCAGACGTCCGACCCTGCAGGGCCTGCGACGCTGAGGCGGCAGGGTGGGGCGGGGGTGATTCTGAGAAGGCCCAGGTTTCGGTCACATGGCCGCTGTGGCCTGCACCCCAGGATCACTGTTAGGGGACAGTCGCCATGCAGCCTCCCCGTCCTCACCTCGCCAGACGCTGGGAGGCCACACCCCGAACAGAGCGGCTGACAGCAACCCCTGAGCTCTGCCCTGGAAATGCCTTCCGAGAAGTCCCAGGGGACTTAGCAGCAAGCCCGGGGACCAACAGCTAGCTTGCCACCCCCAGGGCAGGCAAGAGCTGGGAACTGCAAAGGGCTCCCGCGGGCGGAGCTCGTGACACACGTGACGGCAGTCACGCCAGGCAGGCCTGTGCTGGAGGCCACATCCGGCAGCGGTTGCGCTACCTGAGGCCCCGGGAGGCCAGCCTGCGAGGCCAGGCGTCCGGGGGCCGGCTTCTGCTGCTTAGTCATTCTGGCGGTGGTCTTCAGAGCCTTCTGCGGTGACAGGCTGCTCCCTGAGAGGGGTCCTAGCCCCAGGCTTCAAAACCAGCCCAGCTGGGGGACCAGCAGGTGGCGTAATGGCTATGTCGCTGGACTCCCACGTAGTCAACTGTGGTTCGAGTCCCGGACCCGGTGGCTTAAACTCACACTGGGCACGTGTGCGTGTGTGCCCAAGATCCCGAGAGGAGAATGGAGGAGAAGGGATTGGGGCGTGGCCATGCCCTCTGGGGGGTGATTTCTCACTTTCTGTCTCTCTCTCTCTGGCGAGTGCACGTGCCCTATAGCAAAAATCTCTCCAGAAAAAAAAAAGAAAAAAAAAACCAGCCCGGCTGGGTCTGCTCTGTGGCCTGGGTTAAGGCAGCTGGGTCTCATGTCCCAGTCCCAGAAGCCCAAGAAACATGTAGACACGCATGTACGTGTACCCGAAGTCCCGACAGGGAGGGGTGGAGGACTGCAGGGTGACTGTCCCTCTCGGGCAGCTCCCCTGGTCCACTCTCTCTGGTGGATGCATACGACTTGTAGCCAGACACACACCAGCCTGTGGACCCTGGCCTGTGCGTGGCTGGCACAGCAGTGGAGGGGCGGGGTGCCTCTGACCCAGAACCCAGCCTCCGACAGGGGTCCTGATGAGGCCTCACCTCTCACCAGCAGAGGGTCTGCTCTGAGCCTGAGGGTCAGATGTAAGCGCCCTCCCGGCCCCCGAGCCCCAGGTCTGTGCGGGAGGAAGTTCTGGGATGGGCTGGGCACCAGGGCGTGAACCCACCACTCTCCAGAACCTTCCGCAAACACCACGTGGGAACCCACAAATTACAACCTCGGGGGAGGCGTCCTCACCAGGCAGGCTTTATCCCGACGGAGGGAAAACCGAGGCTTAGGGAGGACGGGCTCGCCCACAACCACGAGCAAGTGGGGGTCTGCAGGCCGGGCCCTGAGCGACGGGCACCGGCTCACGCCTCACCTGCCAGCGGCTCGGAGCGGGAGCACAGGCCGCGCCCCGGCACGCTGCCCCGGCCTCCCAGGGCTGGGCTGGGCGGCGCACGCACAGGAGGGCGGGAGGGGGCGCTCACCTCGGACTTGAAGGAGGCCTCGTCCTCCGAGCGGGGCTCCTCCACCTCCAGGGCCCTCCGCGCCTCCCGGGGCTCGCTGTCGGCCTTGGCCTTCTCGCCCTTGCAGCTGCTCCTGTCCTTGGCCGGCTTCTTGTCCGGGAAGGATGAGGTGCGGGGCGAGGTGCCCGGGGCGCCCCGGGACCCCTTGGAGCTGCTCTTCTTCTGCTTCTTGGCGCTGGGCTTGGGCGAGTCAGCCGGTGCCGGCCGCTTGCCGGAGCTCTTGGGCGGGGGCGGGGGGCCGCCCTTGGGCGACGTGCCCTCCAGCTTGGGCTCCTTCAGGGCCATCTTGGGCTCCTTGAAGGCGGCCTTGGGCGGCGGCGCCCTCTCCTCCTTGGGCAGCCGGCCCTCGCCCAGCTTGCGTGCGGCCTCCTTGGGGCCCCTGGCGGGCTCGCGCTCCAGCTCCCGGGAGGAGGCCCTGCTCTCCGAGTCCTTGCGTGGCCGCTCGCGGTGCTCTTTGGCGGCCTTGTGCGGCTTGGGGGCCTTGCCGCTCTCCTTGTTGGCGTCCTGCAAGGCCGAGGGGACGGGGACGGGGACGGGCGGTCAGACGGCATCTCGGGCCGCCTGCTCGGCCACCCCCGACCCCTACAAAGTATAATCCACCTGATTCAGACTCAGCTAGAGAAATTCGTCCATAAAGCGAAAAAGTTAGCAGCAGGTGAGAGTTTTAAATGGAGCTGTCCCTTTAAGCTACTAGGAGGTGGCAGCAGGTCCGGGCGGCTGCGGGAGGGCTAAGACACCCTCGGAATTGGACTGAACTCCCTGAGGGATTCAAGAAGAGCAGACGGTCAGACAGAACGACAACGCCAGCCACACGACCCGCTCCCGCGCCAACACCTCACGGCGGCCTGCGGGCCCGGGGACCGCGGGAGGCTCCGCCTGGCGCTGGGGGAGCCTCTGTGGGCTCCAGCCTCCTGGCCCCCAGCACACTCCAGGGCGCGGCCCAGCGAGACGCGCCCTCCTTGGCCACGCGGGCCCTGTCCTCCAGGTCTCCCACTGCTGTCCAGCCCAGCTCCACCGTCCTCGGGTGCACCAGGAGGGCTGCTCGCCCCAGATCCAAAGTGGAGGGTGCTCCTGGGTTCCTGCCTGCAGGGCACCGGGCAGCGCTGTCCGGCCGGGGCGGGAGCTCGGCTCTGACCCACGTGCCACGGGACCCAGGCTCGCCGTCTGTGCCGGTGTCCTCAGAGCAGGGTGAGCGCACCTTCCTCCCGGCCTGGGGGCCGGGGTGCTCGCCCGGGTGGCCCTGCCCCCCGCCAGTCGCTGCAGCCCCCCTGCTGGCCTGCTCCAGCGCTACGTCCCGCCCGCGCCACCCCGACACACACACAGCCGGGGCCCCACTGGCACTCCAGTGTCACCGACACACCCAGGGAACGGGTCCTGAAGGCTCAGCTCCGCGGCAAGCGGCTCCCCAAGGAGAGCGGTAAGAAGCGGAGGCGTCACCACCATCCAGCCCTCACTGTGCACCGCCCACGGTAGCGGAGGCGTCACCACCATCCAGCCCTCACTAAGCACCGCCCACAGCGCTCCCAGTGGCCCCAGCACAGCCCTGCCAGCCTGCCTGTGCCGAGGGCCTTTCCGGGCTGCACGGGCACCCAGGCCCACAGGCCCGCCCCTGAGCTGAGCACCCACCGCAGCCCCAAGGTCTCAGAGCTGACCACGACGGTTAAGAGCCACATTTCAGAAATGGCAACCTGGCCAGACAGTGGATATGACAGTGGGTGACGCGGGGCATCCCCGCAGCCACAGGCATGCAGGTCCCGGCGTGCCGGGGACAAGGACCCTGGGGAGCCACCATCTTGCAGCTGGGCCTGGGCGAGGTAGGCAGAGGGTCCCCTGCTCTCCCAGGAGGCTGCGATTCCCGTCAGCTACGCACTGCCCTGGGCAGGGGCTGTGAGGGGGACACCCAGGGACTGAGTCACCTACAGCTGCAGCTGGCCACGTTCACCGGCAACTCCCCGCCTGGGGGTTCCCACAGACTCGCCGCCTCCCCAGCCCTCCCTGCTGCTTCAGCTCCACTGAGGCTGTGGCTGGAGCACATGGCCGCCCCCGCCCACGAGCTCTCCCGACCAGCAGCCGGAGCCCAAGGACGCGCTCAGCCGGGGTGTGAGGCCACCCCGGGCCCCGACCCCACAAGGGTTGCACGCTAGCAGCACAGACTCCAGATGACAAGGCCCAGGAGTTCTCGTAGACAGAGGGGACCCTCGCGGGGCCTGGTGCCAACCAAGATACCTACACCGACGCCCCGTCAGGCAGTCCGGGGTCGCAGTGGGTGGAGCTCGAGCCCTGCCTACGGGCCTCCCCAGCCCGGGGGGTGAGCCTGGTCTGAGGGGTCCCAGGGCTCTCAGAGACACTCTGGCAAGTGCCACTGGCAAACACAGCTCTGCCAGCTGCAGTGGTGCCCTCGCCACCGGGACAGCATTTCTTCTGGGGTTTTAAGAGACTTTCTGGTGACCCACAGGGAAGAAGGGCAATTCCTTCTCTTCCTGCTTCTACAGACACATGAAGAAGCAGGCGGCTGGGAGAGCGGCTTCCCGGACTCAGCAACGTCTGCACATCTGCAGGACTCCGCGAGGCTGGGGAAGCACAGGCCAGGGGCCGGGGAGGGACACTCGCAGGCTAGGCTCCCTCCTCGAAAGACCGATGAGCCAGAGGTGTCCAGATGCACAGGTGTCCGGCCGGGCGATGGGGCCCGAGGCTGTGGAGGCCGGGAGACGGCCAGAAAGCCCTGTCTGCACCCCCGATGGGCAGGTGGGGGCAGAACATCGAGAGAAGTGGGCAGACCCAACAGGCTGGCCACGGGAAAGGCGTGGTCACCCCTCCAAGGGCCACACGGCACAGAGGTGGTGGCTACCAAAGAGCGACATGGATGTCAAGGTGGCACGAAGGGCCATCCGGCCTGTCCGGGATGCTCGGAAGGAGGCCAGAAGGCCGAGTGCCCAGATGGAATACGACGCGCCGTGTTCTGGCCAGTGGGGTGGGCTGGCTCGCTGCAGCCGGCCCGGCCCTTCCCCAGGGCATCCTCCCGGGGGCTACGGACAGAGAGCTAAGCCCGGAACAGCCAAGGATGGAGTGGCTGGAGGCCCTGGAGGCTGGGCCGTCACACAGCGGCCCTCGATGAAGCGACTGACCGTCCAAAGAGCCCTTGGGGCTTCGAGGCCTCAGCTCCATGGGGAGGGGAGAAGACTGGGAGGGTCTCTGGCCTCAAGAGGAACGGGGCGAAGAGCCCAAGGACTCGGCCTGTCCCTGGACACCTCGAGGGAGCGGCCGTGAGCAGCGAGCTGGAGCGAGAGAGCCTCAGAGGAGGGTGCCAGGGAGCGTCCAGGTGCGGAAGGCCCAGCTGGGCACGGGGGCGCCCGGAGCCCAGGGCCCGCGGCAGCTGGGCCTTCCGCCTCACTAACCTTGGAGCCGTGGGACGGTTTGGTCTTCTTGGGGTCAGAGAAGGCAGAGAGTGGAATTGTGGGTAACATGGGGTAGTCGGGGCTGGGCCTGGACACCGACTCTGCTCCTTCGGGCATTACCATCACCTAGTGACAAAGGAGAGACAGCGTTACCGGCGGCCGGGGCGGCGGGGGAGCGGGGCCGGGGCAGCCCTCTCCCGAAGGGCCGCAGGCAGGTCCCCCGTGGGGACTGGGTGCCGAGCACCCGAGGGATGCAGGCCGGGCGGGGCAAGAAGAGCCCAGGGGCCCGGGGTGGCCGGGGC